TGTAATTGCAGTTTTTGTATTGTTGAAATTTGCCATTTGATACTGGAATACATTCTTAATGTGATATACACCATTTTAATGCACATTTCTCGCTTTTTTTTTTTTGCTAATGTCTTTTTACTTGCTGTTTATCTTTACTTTTTGGACTATGGAAATGATGTTAAACAAAAAGCAAATTCGAGCTATTTTCTTGAGTCCGAAGTCATAAAGCAGTGGAGACAATGCGCAACATCATCAACACATTTGGCCTAGAAACTGCTAGTGAACGTACAGTGCAGTGGTGGTTCAAGAAGTTTTGCAAAGGAGACAAGAGCCCTGAAGATGAGGATCATAGTGGCTGGCTATTGAAAGTTGCTAACGGCCGCCTGAGAACGGTCATCAAAGCTGATCCTCTTACAGCTACACAAGTTGTCAAAGAACCTCGCGTCTGCCATTCTATCTTCATTTGGTATTTGAAGCAAATTGGAAAAGTACAAAAGCTCAGTGAATGCCTCATGAGCTGACTGCAAATCAAAAAAATTGTCATTTTGAAGTGTCATCTTCTCTTATTCTATGCAACAGCAATGAACCATTTCTTGATCAGATTGTGATGTGTGACGAAAAATGGATTTTATGTGACAGTCAGCAATAACCAACTCAGTGGTTGGACTGAGAAGCTCTAAAGCACTTCCCAAAGCCAAACTTGTACCAGAAAAAAATCTCATAGTCACTGTTTGGTGGTCTGCTGCCCATCTGATCCACTACAGCTTTCTGAATCCCAGTGAAACCATTACATCTGAGAAGTATGCTCAGCAAATTGATGAGATGCACTGAAAACTGCAACGCTTGCAGTTAGTATTGGTCAACAGAAGGGGCCTGATGCTTCACCATGACAACACCTGACCATATGTCACACAACCAGTGATTGAAAAGTTGAACAAATTGAGCTACCAAGTTTTGCCTCATCCACCATACCCCTTCTTTAAGCATGTCAGTGACTTTTTGCAGGGAAAACGCTTCCACAACCAGTGGGAGGCAGAAAATGCTCTGTAAGAGTTTGTTGAACCCCAAAGCATGGATTTTTATGCTACAGGAATAAACCAACTTCTCATTGGCAAAAATGTGTTGGTTGTCATGGTTCTTATTTTGATGAATAAAGATGTGTCTGAGCTTAGTTAGTAACGGTTTTAAAATTCACAATCCAATACCACAGTCATTTTTGCCCCAACCTAATACATAATGGCGTGTATCCTTCCCTGTATTTCTGAGGGCTGGACGTCTTACACCACATGTTTGAGGTGTTGTAAGAAGGAATGTCCTAAGGACTTGTTCACTCAGTAGATGCTTAGCAAAGATGACAACTGGGTGCCAGTTCTTTAAATTCACTATAGTGAGTATCTAGTTCATTGGCTTTAATGCAAAGCCTCAGTTCAAGTGTTAGAGATAGAAGGTTAATTGTGGCACAGTCCTTGCTTCCTGGGAGTGACTGTGTCCAGTGGGGTGGCATGTGGTGACTAGCTCTCAGGCAGTGTGATGAATGCTGTGCCGACAGTGTGAATACTGGTGCTGCTGGAGCTCCGTGGAGGGGAAAGTCAGGCCTGGGTGCTAGGGAAGACTGCGTGGTTTTCTGAATGTCAGCCCTTTGCGACTCCGTGTTTTCACAGAGAGATGGATGGATCAGTGCAGACAGGCTTTAGAATTAGAATGTAATTCTCAAGTTATGAATACCTGTATAAAGTCCATTTTGGGTATATAGAGAATTTTTTTAAATGGCTGTCTTTTGTGCCTTTCCTCAAATACTTCCCACAAACAGCCATGAGTCAACATCTGTTCTCAGGGACCTCCTTTCTTTCTTCTTTTTTTTTTCTCCTTTCTTTCTTAAAAGAATTGTGCTATAAGAGTTTGTTGAACCCCAAAGCATGGATTTTTATGCTACAGGAATAAACCAACTTCTCATTGGCAAAAATGTGTTGGTTGTCATGGTTCTTATTTTGATGAATAAAGATGTGTCTGAGCTTAGTTAGTAACGGTTTTAAAATTCACAATCCAATACCACAGTCATTTTTGCCCCAACCTAATACATAATGGCGTGTATCCTTCCCTGTATTTCTGAGGGCTGGACGTCTTACACCACATGTTTGAGGTGTTGTAAGAAGGAATGTCCTAAGGACTTGTTCACTCAGTAGATGATTAGCAAAGATGACAACTGGGTGCCAGTTCTTTAAATTCACTATAGTGAGTATCTAGTTCATTGGCTTTAATGCAAAGCCTCAGTTCAAGTGTTAGAGATAGAAGGTTAATTGTGGCACAGTCCTTGCTTCCTGGGAGTGACTGTGTCCAGTGGGGTGGCATGTGGTGACTAGCTCTCAGGCAGTGTGATGAATGCTGTGCCGACAGTGTGAATACTGGTGCTGCTGGAGCTCCGTGGAGGGGAAAGTCAGGCCTGGGTGCTAGGGAAGACTGCGTGGTTTTCTGAATGTCAGCCCTTTGCGACTCCGTGTTTTCACAGAGAGATGGATGGATCAGTGCAGACAGGCTTTAGAATTAGAATGTAATTCTCAAGTTATGAATACCTGTATAAAGTCCATTTTGGGTATATAGAGAATTTTTTTAAATGGCTGTCTTTTGTGCCTTTCCTCAAATACTTCCCACAAACAGCCATGAGTCAACATCTGTTCTCAGGGACCTCCTTTCTTTCTTCTTTTTTTTTTCTCCTTTCTTTCTTAAAAGAATTGTGCTATGTTGCTAAGTTAGGGTTTTTTTTTTTTTCTTAACATTTATTTAAAATTTTGATAGCTAATATAGTCACATGGTTCATAAATAAAAAAATATAAAAAGATAGCCACTATAAACTCTAGTGATATAAAAATAGAAGTCAGGCTTCACTTTTTCCACTTGTTCCAAGTAATCATTTTGGTATTCTTTCACTGTGCCTCAACCCCACATGTGTGGCTAATCACTTTTATTGGTCTTGTATATCTTGCCTTCCAAAAGCTCTTTTTGTAATTACAAGAAATAAAAATTTTATTCTATTTTATTCTTATTGTCCTTTTTGAGAACATGAAAGTTAGGATGCCATGCTCATGAATATGGTCTCAGTCTTCTGTTATCCAGTTGACAACGTGTCTTGGTGGTCTCATCATTTCAATACATAGAGTGGAGGTTCCCAAGTTTTCTTGGTTCTTGACACTCTTAGTGTTGCTTTAACTTTTTTCACTATGCCCTTAAAATACCAAAAGAAATACCTAACAGGTTTGTTAAGTATTTAGGTCTAAATAGCAAGCATTTATATCCTAATAACTACGAGATATCTGCAAGAATAATGTTCATAAATTGAAGAAATTAAAAAATTTTATTCTTTAAAACATTTTTACTGTGGGCTGCACTGGATCGTTGCTGCTGCGTGCAGGCTTTCTCTAGTTGTGACGAGTAGGAGTGGCTCTTCCTCGCGATGCAAGGGCTTTCCCTGCAGTGGCTTGCCTTGCTGCAGAGCGCCGGCTCTGGGAGGAAGGGCTTAGTTTTCCGGCACCATGTGGAGTTCTCCCAGATCAGAAATTGAACCTGTGACCCCTGCATTGACAGAGGGAGCCTTATCTACTGTTCCACCAAAGAAGTCCCCAGAATTTTATTAAATAAGCACAGTTGCCTATTAATGAGATTTGTATACTTTTGAGCATGGTACAGCTTCTTTAACCTTGGGGTCAGATTGAACACTACCACTGTCATTTCGTGTTCTGCATTCCTCCTGGCTTGCAGTTTATACCATTTTCAGTGGGACTTTGAAGAAATTGTTTACCAGATTTCTTTTCTTTGTTCACCATGGAGGATCTTCATTCCCTGATCAGGAGTCGAACCCCTGCCCCCGGCAGTGGAAGCATGGAGTCTTAACCACTGGACCACCAAAGTAGTTTAACTGATCTTTGAGATAGAATTTATTTCCAGATTTGGGTGGGTTTGCCTAAGAAACTACCTGAATAAAGCTATATTGGGTTGAGATATCTTTTTCTGTTTTTTTGGCCATGCCATGCAGCTTGCTGGATCTTAGTTCCCTGACCAGGGGTCGAACCTGGCAATGAAAGCACTGAGTCCTGACTACTAGATTGCCAGGGAATTCCTTAAAATCTTCTAAGAGGTTCACATATCTATCAAAGAGAAGGAAAGATTCAGTTATAGTGATTATCTAGACTGTGGCTTATCCCACCTTTGGCCAGGAGACAGGTAACCCACCACTTCTAGTAGCTGCTAAGGTGGGTCTTATTTGGAGTCTTTGGACAACAAAATTGCTGACAAATGACACTACTGGCTGGACTCACCCAGGCCGGCAGCTCCCCTGCTGGAGCCTTCAGTTGCGGCTCCTCTTTTCCCTGCCTCAGTGCGGCTGCTTGAACCCCCGTCTTCCCTGTCTTCCCTCTCTTCCTCCTCTTCCTTTCCTATCCCCACCTCCCCCTTCACCTCTTCCCTTCTCTTCCCCTACTTTCACTCTGAGCCAGCTCTTCTCTGGGGCTGTGCTGTAGACGCCCCCCCCCCCCAAGTTTGAAGGACCATGAAAACAGAAAGCTAGGAGGTTAGACAATTGCAAACTATGATAGATAGTCCCCATGATAGAATTGTTGAAAATGAAAATAGGTGTCAGTGTTTGGAAACTGATGTTCAACTAATAAGTAGCAGCAGAAATAATAATCATATCATTAATTTTTTATTTGACAATGTGCTCCCAAATAACATTTTTTCACTTAATCTTCAAACATTTCTATGAGGAAGGTATTGTCATCCCAGTTTTGTAAGAGATGGGCAAGGAAGACTGATATTTTGAACTCCCATTGTGTGTCAGATACCCTTAGGAAACTTCAGTGGCCTTGCCCAAGATTACACAGTTTGTAAGAGGTAGAGAATACATTTGACCTGGGTCACTTAATGAACTTTGTGCAGTGCATGTACCGAACACTAGTTGTATAAATGAAACTTTAGAGGCTATATTGTGCCGTAAACACACCAAAACATTTTCTTTTTTTCTTTTCTAGCATCTGCTACAAGCCTAAGTGGGTCTGACAGCGAGACTGAGGGGAAGCAACGCAGCTCGGACTCTTTCGACGATGCATTCAAGGCAGACTCTCTTGTGGAGGGAACTTCCTCTCGCTACTCCATGTATAACAGTGTGTCCCAGAAGCTCATGGTATGTCAGCGCTTGGGTTGGGTTTCTAAAGTTCTACCAGCAGAATGAGAGGAGGGAAGCCGTGTTGGCAAGAGAAGCAGCAAACCGAGGGTGTAAGTTTTCCCTTTGCTTACCAGCTGCTGTAGTTCAGCAGAGAGCACGTAACCCCTTCTTGATACACGTATCACATTTGAAGCATCCATGGGCAGCGGCTGCTCAGGCCTGCTTCTGTCCAGAGCTGGGGCAGCCTTTGGTCTCCTTAGTAGTGAGTTCTTATGAGCATATGTGAGCACATGGATGTGTGTTGGTGGATAAGGAGGCTTCATGCTGAGATTTTTGCTCTAGTGAGTGATCTTAAAAATACTTTCACTCTGAGCCAGCTCTTCTCTGGGGCTGTGCTGTAGACGCCCCCCCCCCCCAAGTTTGAAGGACCATGAAAACAGAAAGCTAGGAGGTTAGACAATTGCAAACTATGATAGATAGTCCCCATGATAGAATTGTTGAAAATGAAAATAGGTGTCAGTGTTTGGAAACTGATGTTCAACTAATAAGTAGCAGCAGAAATAATAATCATATCATTAATTTTTTATTTGACAACGTGCTCCCAAATAACATTTTTTCACTTAATCTTCAAACATTTCTATGAGGAAGGTATTGTCATCCCAGTTTTGTAAGAGATGGGCAAGGAAGACTGATATTTTGAACTCCCATTGTGTGTCAGATACCCTTAGGAAACTTCAGTGGCCTTGCCCAAGATTACACAGTTTGTAAGAGGTAGAGAATACATTTGACCTGGGTCACTTAATGAACTTTGTGCAGTGCATGTACCGAACACTAGTTGTATAAATGAAACTTTAGAGGCTATATTGTGCCGTAAACACACCAAAACATTTTCTTTTTTTCTTTTCTAGCATCTGCTACAAGCCTAAGTGGGTCTGACAGCGAGACTGAGGGGAAGCAACGCAGCTCGGACTCTTTCGACGATGCATTCAAGGCAGACTCTCTTGTGGAGGGAACTTCCTCTCGCTACTCCATGTATAACAGTGTGTCCCAGAAGCTCATGGTATGTCAGCGCTTGGGTTGGGTTTCTAAAGTTCTACCAGCAGAATGAGAGGAGGGAAGCCGTGTTGGCAAGAGAAGCAGCAAACCGAGGGTGTAAGTTTTCCCTTTGCTTACCAGCTGCTGTAGTTCAGCAGAGAGCACGTAACCCCTTCTTGATACACGTATCACATTTGAAGCATCCATGGGCAGCGGCTGCTCAGGCCTGCTTCTGTCCAGAGCTGGGGCAGCCTTTGGTCTCCTTAGTAGTGAGTTCTTATGAGCATATGTGAGCACATGGATGTGTGTTGGTGGATAAGGAGGCTTCATGCTGAGATTTTTGCTCTAGTGAGTGATCTTAAAAAGAAATGACTAAAATCCTGCTCACTCCCAGATTCCTAAAATAAATGGGAGTAGAGCTGTCTTCTGTGTTAACTTCCAAAAGAGGGCCCAGTTTTCCTTTCCACCTTCAGTACCCTGTTGATATACCACAGGAGGAAGGTGGAAGAAAAGACTTGCTTACTTTTGCAAAGGTCAGGGAAATCCAAGTTTGTCTCCTGTCTAGCTCCACGAATATCACAGTTGACGTCTCCATTTTCTGTTGGAGTCATTTAAGAATGAGAACTGCTACTTCTGAAGTCATAGTCAGGATTCTGATTTGGGGGCCAAAAACTTCGGGGAAGTGGGAGATGGGAAGGTTGGTGACTCAGACTCTGACCTGGGGAAAGGTTTGTGGCTACTGTAGGAATTTCATCCAGCTGCTGAGCCTGCAGTGCCCCTTCCACAGGGAATACAGGCCTCTAGAGGAAACAGGGCTTTAGGGTTGGAGTTCTTTTATTAGACAAGGGTATGTGGGTTTGGGGTCTCTGGTTTTAGGGATATGTAACTGGGCCCAGGACTCTAGAGTTTAGTGTAAGCTTTTTAGTTAGTTGTGACATTTAAACAGATGTTTCTGTCCTGTCTTACAGCATCTTCCATACCTCAGTTTTACATGAAGTGATTTTTCAGTTAATCTCTTGATTAAGTGGGCTCCTTCAAGCCCTCATTGTCCTTCCCTAGTAAGGCCATTTGACTGGTTAAGGGTAAGGTTTAGAAGTTGCCGCTGGAAGCAGTTCCATTTTAAATTATGTTCTCTTTATCAGCTCTGCTCTAGATCTACTTCTCACTTAATCAGATAAATTAGCTGGAAGGGTAGTTGTGCAAATGTCCAGTGAGATTCATTATGTACTACTGGTGCCTTTAATTACAGCTATGAGGTCCCTTCTCATTTATCCAACTTGTGGTTGCCCTAGACTTTCACCCCCAGAATAGACAGCCACAGGGCTCACAATCAAACTGCAGTTATTAGGCTAGAAGGAAAACTTTAGGCCTTACTCATTTATATTTCTCACAATTTAATACAGTGTCTGACACAGTAGAAGGACTGAATAAATGTCTATTTATGTAAGTGCTCCACTTCTGTTTGCTTATATAAATGCACCATTTACGTCTCTTTTTCAGGCCAAGATGGGCTTCAAGGAAGGTGAAGGACTGGGTAAATACAGCCAGGGTCGGAAGGACATCGTTGAGGCCTCTAATCAGAAAGGTCGACGAGGCTTGGGTCTGACACTGCAAGGCTTTGACCAAGAGCTGAATGTGAACTGGCGAGATGAGCCAGAGGTACCTCGTGTGGAGGGGAGACGGGAAGGCCATTTATGTCTTTATGAAACCATATTAACAAACTAGAAGTCCCCAGAGGCAGTATGATCAGGGTGGTTAGTGGGGATTGGAACTGGTTTCTTACATGGACGATATGGGGGTGTCCAAAATGGAAAAGAGGAGCCTAGGGGAGATACAGTGGGCTATGGATTTGTTTCCTGTTGCTTCATATGAGACTGGGTCTAAGACCAGTGGGTAGAAGATACAGAAAGGCAGAGTGTCTCCACAAAGAACTTGAATAAATAGATACAGCTTTTCACCAGTGATGAACATGCCTAAGGAGGTAGAGAGCTCCCTCTGCTGAAAGGATTCATGTGAGCCAAATGAGGACCACTCTCCCATTGTGTGAGTAACTGGATCAGGTACCCTCCAAGGTCCTTGCACCTCCTCAAGTTTATGATATCCTGATATTAAATAGGTGTTTGTTTATGCCAAATAGCTTTTCTCTTGTGGGTTTATTCTGCTTATCTCCTTGGGTGTGAGTTTGTTTTAATCCTGAATATCTAAAGAGATTCCCTCTGATGGTACAGATAATGTTGAAATTTTTTTTTTGAAAGTTTATTTTTATTGATTTACTTATGCCCTACTTTATTCCACAAAGGATTTGAAGTGAGTATAATAAAAGTATCTAAAAATAATGATAAAATGTTACCATTATAGAGTTGAAACTAGAGAAAATGAAACACAAATGTCTAGCCTTCCATATAGTTGCTTAAGTTGAGCTTCAGATGTTGCTCTGAACTCTGGAAAATGGATATTTTGTCTCCCTGTTGTTTCAGTTCAGCAAAGAAGTTCTGTGAACCTGTGCATGATAAAAGCCTAATAAAGTGTCAGAGTAAGATGCTAACAAACCAGGAGTTGATGGATTCTGAGAGTGGTCCTGCTGTGTTGCCTTGTAGTTGTAAGGAGACGCGACAATGCAAAATAGGCAAATACTGATCATTGGGGCTAGATGTAGGTTTCTGCCTCCAAACTCCTTGGTACTTTCCATGTCCTCATTTATCTAGAGTGGGTGAAAAGTCCCTACCCTCCCAATAGGGCAGAATTAGAACTAACTTTGCTAAACTTGGAATCTGAAATTTGCTCATAAAATCTGTTTTTAATAGAGACAGGCTATTGAAAAAAAAGGGGTTTTTTTTGGCCCTGTTAGATGGTTTGTGAGATCTTGGTTCCCTGATGGGATTAAACCCTGGCCATGCCAATGAAAGCGCCAAGTCTTAACCACTAGACCCCCAGGGAATTCCATGAATAATTTTTTTTGAGGCAAGGCTGACCTAATCACCATTTACCATAATTCACTTTTTCTTCTTAAAGATATTCTTTTGGTTAAGAGTTTTCCTCAACTATTTGTTGGTGGCCACTTCTTTTTGTTTGTTTTTGTTTTAAAATTTAAATCAGTTTGTTTATTTTTGACCATGCCAGCTCATGTGGGATCTTAGTTTCCCAACTAGGAATCAAACCTGTGCCCCCTACAGTGGAAGCACAGTGTCTTAACCACTGGATCACCAGGGAAGTCCCACTTCTTTAAGGCAATTGAGCCTGGGTGGCCTGAGGTGAACGTCTGATTCCTGGAGTCACTGCATGGAGAATGCTCAGTGGCACTGCTGTTCAGGAATATGGAGTGCAAGGTGTGGAGCTTCAGACAGAGTTCACTTTGTGGTAGCTGTAATGTTCAGACTTCCATGGGGAGGTTGAATCTGCTATTCCTCTCCAAAGGAGCATCCATACTGTGTATGAGCTTCTTTCTAGAGGTTATAATTCACAACTTTTATACCTAAAGGGACCGGCTTTGACCAAGAGAAGCCATGATTCATTGCTAGATTTTGACAAAAGTTTTCAGTAATTTTTCTTTGAAACTTTTTCTCTGTTGATGGTAGTTGGCTTGCCCTCAAGACCTTGCATTGAGATACCATTTTATGCTTTTCAGAGCATGTAATATTACCTTTAATCTCATTGCTTCAATTCGCAATGGTGAATCTATTCTCCACACTTGCTTGGAGGGAAAATGTTGAGCTGCCAATGCAGGTTAGCCACCGATTTAGGTTTTTTGGTTTTTTTTTTTTTTCGATTTAGGTTTTATAATCGTTGTCTCTTCAGCCCTATGAACTTAGTTCTGGATGCACGTTAGAATCACCTGATGACCTCTGAAAATGTCCTTACACCCAGTCCCCACCTGAGACCAGCAGAATCATATACTCTGAGTGGGGGGCCCAGGCATCAGTACTTTTTAAGAGGTCTGCAGATAATGCTAAGTGTGGCCAGGATGAAAACCACAGTTTTAGCTTGGTAAGGAAAGTAACTGAAAAATTCAGAGGAAGCAGCACTAGAGAAGCCAGTTTCTACTGTGTCTTGCAATAAAAGGCATCAGGAAGTGAGGCTCGTTGCACTGTCTTCCTGATGTAATTACCTTGTAGACTTGTGTTCTTCTCTGCGTCCCCACTGCTCTGACTATAGGCCACTTGCGTTAAGGATCATGTCTTTTTACCTCTGTGTACTGAGCACTTAGTCCACAGTAGGTGTTCATCAAATAATATTGGAACAAATGAAAGAAACTTTGAAAGTTGGAGAAGTTTCTTAGAATTCAAACCAGAATTGGCCCTGCCTTTAGAAGTTGAACTTCAGAATCCTGGCTCAGTTCTTAGATCTGACACTCCCATTGGCCTCAGCGTCCTGGACACTTCTCACTCTGAGCCCCTCGATCGCTTTGGGGAAAGTCCTGGTGAGTTGGTGCATGGCCCTGAGGGTCTGCCTTACCTGACTTACTTGCCTCTCTTTTGTTTGTAGCCCAGTGCCTGCGAGCAGGTGTCATGGTTCCCAGAATGTACCACTGAAATTCCTGACACTCAGGAAATGAGCGATTGGATGGTTGTGGGGAAGGTAGGAGTTCAGGAAAATGTACTCTGAATTCTTGACACTTTTGACATTTCTCCTCCTCAAATCAGGTGTGTGTATCTGTATACTTACAGTTTAAGAAAAGTGTGAATCTGAGCTTTCTGGCAGGAATAAAGCTGCATCAAGAGGGTGTCAGGAGCTCCATGAATATGCCCCTGGGACATGTGGCACACAGGGCTTTTTTCCTCCTAGTCATTTACCTTGCAAGGCAGCACAAAATGCATAACTTCTGTCTTCCTCTTGGATGCTTTTTAGAGAAGCTTATTATACACCTATATATATTCTGGTCACTGTTGGGCACTGTTCCAAGTAGATTTTAAAAAGGACTACCTCTGTCCTCAGAAAAGAATGAGGGAGTTGTTACTAAAGGAATTTGTTTATTCTCTTTCTGTAAAATTGTAAGAGTTAAGTATATAGTTTTACCAGATCAGCATGTTCCAGAGAGCAGTTCTCAAAGTGTAGGGACTTCCAGGAATCTCCATGACCCTTTCAGAGGGTCTACGAGTCAGTTATTTTCATGATTCTGACAAGTTATTTGCCTTTTTCATTCTCATTCTCTTACAAGTGTCCTGTGAAGTCTTCCAGAAGCTATGACATGTGATATCACATGAGTGCACATGTGGACAGGAGAGTCTCACTGTCTTGTAGTAAGCCGGATGCTGAGAGCTTTGCAAAAATGGAACACAGTGCCACTCTTCTCAATCTTTTTTTTTTTAATATAGTTTTCATACACATTTATTTATATTAATATAACATTCGTTTAAACTGAACTAGTAAATATTTAAACATCTCGGTTTTAACTTATATTAAGGTATATAAACACACACACACACACACGCGAATATACACATCTATCTCCCACAGAAGCAAAAGCTGTTTGGGATCCTCAGTGATCTTACAGAGTGTAAAACCTGAGAATACCGAGTTTGAGCACCACTGATTAAGAAGCAGCCTCACTCATACATGACGCTGAACTCAGCATCCCCATGAGGCTCCCACACCCTTGTTTTCTGTGACGCTGCCAAGTCAGTGCCTGAGGTCCTGCCTTCATACTCTTCACGGAGCAAGAGGCTTCCTGGTTGAAGGACAGCCTCTGTCATTTGGGGTGTTCCCAAATGCCCCCCATCCTTCTGCCCCCACACTCTAGGGACAGACAGCTTGGGTGTCTCCTCCCTGTTTGCTTTTCTCAGCCTCAGTGTTCATGAGTCTTGTATCCATATGGTGCTTTCAGGGGAGCCCCAGGGGGCTGCTCCTTCTCGCGGCTGTCTGGAGCCGAGCCAGAGGGATTTAGGCTTTTCCATTCCCCGTCCCTCAGGGGTTGACGTTCTCTGGCAGGGTCTGCTCTGCTCACTCAGAGCCCTGGTTTCCCCACCCTCCCCCAGATGCGGTCACATGTGGTCGTTACGGGTTGTTTTCTTCTCCCTGCAGAGAAAGATGATTATTGAAGATGAAACAGAGTTTTGTGGGGAAGGCCTGCTTCGCAGCGTGTTGAAGTGTAAGGTAAGGCCTCGTGGCTAGAGCTGGCGCTGAAGATTTTGTATGAGGGGTTGTGCTGGGCTTTCCTTGTTCTTTTGAGTCGGTTGTGGGGAAGCTGAAATTTAGCTAAGATTTTTTTCCTGGAGGGCAGATGTCAGTCTGGCGTGTTTCTGTGAGACTTCTTTTTTCCTGGTGACTCCCCTGCCCCGCAGTGTTGTTCTGTCCCTGTGGTCAGTAGCCAGGAAGGGAACCACTTAATTTCAGTGGGTGGGTTCATCGTAATCCTGAAGGGGGGCTGGCATAGTGAAAGATTTAATCATTCTTCAGTATCAGAGCTGAATTCAAATCCTAGTTTTGCAGCTTTTTTTTTCTTTCTTTGCTGAGTGACTTTGGACCATTTGCTTTAGCTTCTCCGAGTTTCCTTATCTTTAAATTATGAAGAAAAAAATACTCAGTGTTGTTGAAGTTAAAAGAGATAGTTGGTGTTACTCTCCCCTTGATGTCTTCTGACTGGTGCATTGCCTGGGGCAGGGTGAGCCAGGGAAACTGAGGAGAAAATGAGTTGGAGGAGAAGCAAGGCCTGAGACAAGCCTCACAGAGCTCATTTTTCTGGCAGGTAGAGTGTTAGAAATATCCTCAGGTAAAATGAGGCTTTCTTTTTCCAGAGAGAATTAGAGGAAAGAGAAGGGTTCCCTGCTGTGAGGCAGTGCCCTCAGAAGAGCCTCATCTTGGTTTGCCTGGCTTCTTTCTGAGTGCACCCTTCATAACAAAACTCTAGGCCCTGCCGCGTTGCTCACCTTGTGGTTCTGATTCTCTCCGGGCAGAGTGTGTTTGATGTCCTGGATGGGGAGGAGATGCGGCGAGCTCGGACCCGGGCCAATCCCTATGAGATGATCCGAGGAGTCTTCTTCCTCAACAGGTTTGCTGGCATTCCTCCCCCCCACCCCCCAACAATGTGCAGTGGTCGATGTTTCCTTTTGAGCCTCCACCCTCCCATCTGTCTGTAACTGAGGTGTGCTTTTCTGTCTTGCTTTGTTGCAGGGCAGCAATGAAGATGGCTAACATGGATTTTGTGTTCGATCGCATGTTTACAAATCCAAGAGACTCTTATGGGGTGAGAACAAGATTTTGCTTCTGAATTCATAGTGCTAAATAGGCTTCAGCTTCAGTGGCTCAGAAATTGTCATTTGTGCAGTGCTAGGAGAGTATTCCTGCTGGGTGATGGAGATACATTTTGTGATGAGATATATTTTGCTTTGAGCTCTTAAGCTAGGGTTCCACAGTGCTTCCTGTGGTCCCAGGAGTGCCTTAGAAAGCAGTTATCTCTAGGGCTTCAGGCCCGGAGTCCCAGCTCCCGACTCTGCAGATCCTGCTCTTCACTCCAGATGGAGGTGCCCAGGGCTTGCAGCAGTGGAGGAGGGGCATTCCTGACCAGATCAGCAGGTGTGACCTCCATAGGCCAAGGGAGCAGGGAGGTGAGGGCATGGCCTCTCTGCTGCACTGATTAAACATGCATTTATCCAGCCCCTACATTGTACCAGGGACAGTGCTAGGCACCAGGAATACATAGATGTGATTCCTTTCCCCATGGTGCTTAGGTTCTGGACATTCTGGGGACTTGAGAGCAGATAAGGGTAAGGGTTGGGTGTGTGTAAAGCCTCTCCAGGCTCGTCGACGTGTAGAGGCCAGTTGCCACCAGGGAGCTCTAGCCTGCCCTCTTCCAGGGTGGGGTGGAGTTTGAGTGCAGTCAGCCCTCTGTGTCTGTGACTCTGCAGGTACAGAGGGCCGGCTGTACACTGCCACTTTATATAAAAACTCAAGCATCTGCAAATTCTGGTATCTGCTGGGGGTCCTGAAACCAATCCTCTGTCAATACTGAGAGATGACTGTGTACAGTCCTTACAGTGAGTTAATGTTCCAAATTGAATCTTATGACATCATCTGATTTGGTTGCTGCTGTTTCTGGTATGAGAGGGCAGTACTCTGGGAAATGTCCGAGTGTTGAATGAAATGTGGGCATCTGGGTTCTTTCACTGGTCTGCATGGTCAGTATCATGTTTGAAGGTCTGTGTTCATGGTCAAGGGGCAGTAGGAAGTGCAGCACTTAGTCACAGGTGGTGTCACTCAGGTTCATACCTTCTTTGGGTCTCAGCTGCCTCATCTCTGAAATTAGCCCTCTAACCTGCCAGAGGACCAGGGTAGGACCAAGAGACTCTGAAGGTTTGTCCCAGCTCTAAAATCTGTGACTTCAAATGTGGCCACTTTCCCTTTCTGCTTCTCTGAACAAGCTTCGGGTGGGATCCTGATTACAAGTGGTGGATCGGAGTAATTTTCTACTTTGCTACTCTCATTTTTCTGAACACAGACCCTCTGTATGATAGAGAAAGAAAAAAAGAAATTTCACTCTAGCTTTCCCTTCAGAGTTTCAGAGCATTTTCACCCTGTTAGTTCTCTGACAGTGAAAGGGCTAGGAGCCAGCTGTTCCCAGTCCAGTTTCTGCCTCACTCAGCCTCCTTCTGCTAGGCCCCCGATTGTCCACTGCTTAAAGAAATTTGTTTTCCAAGTTCTTTATTGCTTCAGCCTCCCCTGCCTGGTTGTTTCCTCCTTGTGGCAGAATGGCAGGTGGACGCCTCCAGCCTTTAGTTATTTCTCCCTCCCCCCTTACAGTACCAGCAAGCTGTACACAACAGCTCTTGGAATTAGCATCTTGAGAAAATTACATTGATATAATGTTGATTTAATTTTCTGAGCTCCGAATGATTTCCCTTAAACCCCTGCCTGGCAGAGGAACTCTGTCAGGTTGATGGGAAATCACAGCGTCATTTTGGGCTTTTGAATGTAAACGCCCCCAGCAGCTGGGATCTGGTTATTGTCTTTTGCTGTCAGGAAAATGAAGTAGGCACCAGGGTTGTACCATTCAGGCAGAGGGTGGAGATGTTACGTAGGAAAAGGTGGCTGTGTTGACAATGCTTCAGGCAGCTTCCTGACTGGCACTGATTGATAGTGGCTGTGGAGAATTGCCTTTCCAGAGAAGTTCTTCTATACTCCACTATAAAAGTGATTTCTCTTCAGCTCCTAGTGTTTGCTTCTGTCTGTTCACCCCTGTTTCCCCCCAAGGACTGGAGTGACAGCCAAGCCCAGCAGGCTTGTGTTTAGAGCAGTCCCAGCAGACATGGGAGTGGTAGAAGCCCCAGGCACACGCCCAGGTTTGCTAGAGTCCCAGTGGCTCTTGGATCAGGGAAATTAGAGTAAGAGTGCGGACAACATGAAGCCTAGGAAAGTGTGAGGAGGTTGGAGATGGGAAGCTGGAGGGAGGGTCTTTGAGGTTTTTCAGCGTGTTTCTGCTTCTACAGGTTGTGGTAAAAGGAGGAAAGAGATTAGGGAAATAAAAAGATCATAAACAAGAGTTGGAAGGGGCCAGGAAGAGAAAGGCGTTTAGATTCTTTGGGTATATGGAAGTGTATTATATATAAACCAAAACGTTACATGAGGGACTTGTGTGCCTGCGGTTATCGTTGTAGTAAGAAAGCATTGGCTATGAAGCATAACAGGATACAAAAGCTGAATGTAGATCTTGAAGTTTCAGCGCTGTCTTAGAAGAAATTGGACAGCACTTACGAAGTCCCCGCTCTCTGTGGAGCACTGCACCAGACTCTGCAGAGAGAAAAGGAGGGGAGGGACAAGGGTCTGACTCTCAGGGAGCTGGCTGATCTAGTTGAACTTCGTGTCATCTTAACGTTTGTTCAGTATTGTACAGTTTTAAGGGTCTTCGACATAAGGTACTTTGTTTAATCCTCACAATAGCCTTGAGAAATAACCTACATTAGTTCCAGTTTGTCATTGAGGAAGCTCAAGCTTAAAGACATAAATCATGTTCTTGCCTTTGACTGCACAGTCAGTAAGTGGCAGAGGTAAGAACCCCAGCCGTCCTTTCTGTGAAAGGACCTCTGGCCGCGGCCTGCGAGGGTGACACGTCTTGAAATTACAGAACAGATCATATTTATGCTGTCTTTTTGGAGGTGAGATGCTTTCATTGATTCATTCTCCTTTCTTCTCATAGTCTTCTTTGGGCCAGCCTCTCACCTGGTGAAGCTGGCGCCTGGGGCTAGGGCATGGCCTGTGGTGAGGAACAGTGTTTTCACTCTTTCCAGTGTGTGCAGGCCTTAAACTTGTGACGCCTGCCTCACTACCGCTTTGCAGCCTGGGAAGTGCTGCATAATATTCTTGGCGTATGCTATTAGGTCTTTTCTAGTGTGCAAATGAATACAATAAGAAGATATGAATAATTGATGGCTCAGGAACAAAGAATGTTAGGGTGGTGGAGCAGAGGAAGGGGAGAAGGAACTGATATGTCCCAGCACACTGAGTGGGCTTGCCATAGGGTGATGAAGTGTATTTTTAGCTACAGTCCCTTTCTCCAGAGACTTTTTCCACTGTTGTGATCAAGCTAGCTAACCATCATCAGAGGCAAAGCCCTTGTCACCTCGAAAGTGACTGGACTGTGAGCATTAGTATTTCCATTTCTTTCCTATAACTGTTTCCCCTGAAGCCTTCTGATCTTTATCTGGCAGTTAGAGCGCTCTGGACAAGCACCCAGCCGTGCCAGACTTTGAGGGAGAGAAGGCTGAGCGGTCTTAGCCCTTCCTGCTGGATGGTCATCAGGGTTCCCCTGCAGTCACCTTTCTGGAGCTCAGCCTCTTGTCACCAGTGCAGATCGCATGTCTCTGCCGTGGAGGCTTGAGACAAGTAAAATTCACCCTTGAGGGCCCAGGTGTGTAGAAAAGTGTAAACACAGTCTAGATCTGCATTCAGCATACATTAAATTTAATTAATTAATTTGGCCAAACTGTGTGGCTTGTGAGATCTCAGTTCCCTGACCAGGGATGGAACCTGGGCCACAGCAGTGAAAGCCCAGTATCCTAACCACGAGGCCACCAGGGAGCGCCCAGCACTTTATATTAAGAATTTAAAGCCACTTAAGTGGCCAAAACTGATCATCAAATACAAATGATGATAGTGTAATGCAGTTATTCTTTAGGTGAGTGGATGCTCTGATGGCTGCCTAGATCAGTGTCTCCTGTTCTCTCAATCTTGTCAGCTTCCAGCTCTGCCCCGTGCAGGCCCTGGTCAGCAGAGGGGCAGAGGCAGGAGGGGGTGGTGTGCAAAAAAGGAGGACGCACAGTGCACTGTGCTGTCTTGGGTGGAGTCATGGAACAGAACAAGGGGTCTGGTGAGATCTGAATCAAGACCGGGTTTTAGTTCATAGTGATGTACCCGTGCATGTCAGTTTCTTAATTTTTACAACTGACCATGTAAGATGTTACTAAAACTGAGTGAAGGATATGTGTGAACTTTGTCCTCGCAACTTATCTGTACGTCTCAAATTATTCCATGATAAAAACTTAATTGGAGGGGAAAAGAGAGCGTCTAGGAGGAGGGGATGAAGGGGCGCAGAGGCTGTGATTTGGAAGGTGAGGCCCTGGGCTGGGAGGAGGTGATGTGAGAGCCCCTCAGACCCTAGTTGGACAGGAAGCCTGCGTCTCCTGGTCAGGCTGACGGGATGCTGACTAAACGGTGCTGCAGACTGTGAACAGGTCAGTTTGTGTCTTGGCGTCTCTCTTTCCCTGTCTGTCATGTGGGGGGCTAGAACATCTACTCCGCTCGTTGGGACTCTTGTAAGGCAGGATGCGGTGGGGAAAAGATGCTGAGAAATAAAACATGCACACTTGGGTGCCCATTAGGATGTTTTATTAGGAGTCTGAGCCGGGCGTGGTGGTGTGAAAGGCATCAGGGGTGTTTTGAGGTGGGGATGGGTGACTGAAGGCAGTGGTCTCAGGTTTCCTGCGGGTTTCCCGCCTGGCTTGCTGGCGGTTGTGGCTCTAGCAGGAGCTCTGTGCTGTGCTTGCTGAGAGGCTTATTGCACTCCCCTGCTTTCTCTTTCCTGCTCCCCATTGAGCCATTTTTTCCCCTCTTTCTCCCCTGACTTCCACTTACCTTTGCAGAAGCCACTGGTGAAGGACCGGGAAGCTGAGCTTCTGTACTTTGCTGACGTCTGTGCAGGCCCGGGTGGCTTCTCGGAGTATGTGCTGTGGAGGAAGAAGTGGCACGCGAAGGGCTTTGGAATGACTTTGAAGGGTCCTAATGACTTTAAGCTGGAAGACTTCTACTCCGCCTCCAGTGAGCTCTTCGAACCCTACTACGGTAGGGACATGGAGGAGGCCACCAGGGGCCGAGAGGGACAGGTCTTATCAGGAGGAGTTACTATCCATGTGCCTTGTTTTCTGTCCTAGGTCGCTCAGTACAGGGTTCCCAGCCCATGTCATGAAGGTCTCGGTTTCCTCTTGACTGTCCCTTTTTCCCCAGGCCTGTTGAATCCAGGTTAAATCCTCTAGTAGGCAAACTCTCAGCAGATCCATATTAATCTCTCCTTCCTTCTCTTGTGGTGACAGGAGATAATAAAACCATTTGATCTCTGGCTGAGAACTGGTGGGGTTATTACCAAATAACAAATCCACACTCATCCCCAGCCCTGTATGCCAGATGCTCAGCAATCCCCTAGCAGCTCCCTCCACTCTGTCTTGCTTTTTTGTGGTTTGGCAGGAAACCCCAGGTCCTTTGTTAACAGAACTTATTAAGAAATTGATACTGCTTCCTAAATGTAGGTGCTTTAAACGCACGTTTGATCTTGAACATGAAGACCTTCTGTGTCAGTTGATGGCTCACGGCTGGTTGACGCCTCCTGAACTCTCCTCTACTGTAGCAGGGCCCTGTCTCTGCCTCCTGGTCCATCACTGCAGGGCAGCCTTGTATGGCGGGCCCTTCAGTGAGGTGCTCCTCACAGAGGGTCTTCTCCTGGGCCTTGAGGTCTGCCTGGTACCTGTGTTCACAGCCCTGGCGAGGTTGTGTCCTGCTGCCAGGGATGCACAGGGCAGATGAGCTAAATGTGAACCTTGTGTCCTCTCTGTCAGGTGAGGGTGGGATCGATGGAGACGGAGACATCACTCGCCCGGAGAACATCAATGCTTTTCGGAATTTCGTCCTGGATAACACCGATCACAAGGGTGTCCACTTTCTGATGGCCGATGGGGTAGGTGACCTGCTCTTCGTGGGGTGATAATGTATGTTTTTATTCTTTTTGTACATCTTTTCAGTTTGTAACTTTGTCAAGGCTGTGCTGTTGTGGGCATCTTTGCTTGGGGCAGGTGAATCTTCCCAGCTCACTTCCTCAGCGGGCCTCCGGTGAGAGTAGAGGCCTGGTGAGGGGGCACCGTGACTAAGATGAACTCAGCAGAGCTGACGGGAAGGACGTTTTCATCGTTTGTCACCAGGTGCTGCTCTTGTCAGAGGCTGCCTGTACACGGCCACTCCTAAGCCTTGGGAGCAGGAGGCAACCTGATAGGCAACCACGTAACCAAATGCAGCAGCTTCATATTAATTAAGACTCCATATTAAGACTCCACAAGAGGCTCTGTCAGTGGCTGGGCTGAAGAAGATATTCACGTTACCGATTTCTTGGGCAGCTGTCTGAGGCATAGAGGCGAGCCCTCCCCAGCTTTCTCCCCGAGTAATCTGATGCTGCCGGTAGTCTTTTTCTGGACTACCAGAAAAGTTGTGAACTACAACTTAGTTGTAGAGAAGAGTCAGAGAACGAGGCAGTTGCTCCAGGGTCAATGGCCAGAGTTGCAGAAAGCTTCTGGAGCCCCTTGGGCAGCCTCTCAAGCAGTGGCTATGTGGAGAGGTGAAGAAATGTTTAGAATGTCAGCGCAGGATCTGAGTGTGCCCTCAGTCCCCAAAGGTTGGTGCCTAGCAGGAGACAACAGATAGGCTTGAGTGGAGGGAGGGGCCGCTTCCGCTGAGCCTGTCGGAGTCTGATATGCTTGGGAGGCAGCCATGCAGGGCATCAACTCGAGTGGCAGACTCAAGGATTGTCCTTCTGACATAGGCAACATGGACTGGTGACCCCCGTGGGGTTTTTTGGTGTGTGTGTGTTTCCCCTCTCCCTATAAATAGCCATGCATTTTAAGAAGCATCTGTAAATCTGGAAGACATTACTGAACATTTCTACTTCTGGAGACCAGGCTGGGGCCAGTTAAATGGAGGCCAGCCTCTTTGCTTTTCTTAATTATTGTGATAAAAATCGCATAACATGAAATTTACTGTTGCAGCCATTTACTGTTTACAGTTCAGTTATGTTAAATATAATCATGCTTTCATGAAACAGATCTCCAAAACTTTTCCATTTTGCAAAATTGAAACGCTGTGTCCATTAAACAACAACTTGCCTCTTTTCCCGTCACAGCCCTTGGCGTCCCTCACTCCCCTGTGAGCTTGGCTCTTGGCTCCTTGCTGGGATCTCACAGGGAGGGAGACCACTCCAAGAACAGCAACATACATTCTTCATACAAACAGCCTGCCCAGAGAGGCAGCCAGCTGGAGGAAGAGGCTCCATGGTCCTGGGACAGGAGGGGGTTGGTTTGTGAGTAAATCTGTGGTCAGAAGAGAAAGAGAGATTCTTGTGATGGTCAAAGTTAGGCAGACTTTCTCCTGTCGCCAGACTGGGGCCTGTTCAGTGGTAAGCCCAGGACTGAGGGAGCCCATTTAGCCACATGTGCTCCCTGGGTCTCACTAGACTCACCAGGGCATTCAGTTTCCTGTCTTGTAGTTGGCTTGTGACTAGCGTATTTTGCCTCTGTTCTGCCGTATCCTTCCCTTGGATTCCAGCATGAGTTTTAAAATTTTCTGAACCATCTCCTTGGAGGAGCAGATTTGGTTCCATCCCCAGGAGCGATAGAGCAGGAAAACAGCACTGGCTCAGTAGGCAGGCCCGGGTCCCAGGTGCTGTCTTCACAGTGAGCCATATGACCACAGCAGAGAATCTGGAAATCAGTGGAAACACCTGAAGAAATCTCAGGGAAGATGAGGTAGGAGCACTCTGTTCAGTCCTCATCACTTTTCTGCTCTGATCCTTGTGCTCTCGTTTCAGGGCTTCTCAGTGGAGGGACAGGAGAACCTGCAGGAGATCCTCAGCAAACAGTTGCTGCTCTGTCAGTTCCTCATGGCGCTGTCTGTTGTCCGGACAGGTGACACTTCTCTGCCGTCTCCCCATCCAGGACTCACCAGAGGCCCTGTTGTACAAGAACATGTATTGGGGTTGGCTTGAAAGTTAAATAATGGTCTGCTTGTATGAGATGACATGTGGCGGAATGAGGAATTTAGGGGGGAAAGTGCTATGGAATCCCCAGAGTCCCCTCTACAACTCTTTCCCTTCTGTGGCCTGTGACTTTTAATGGGCCCAGGTATCTGGGCCCTGACTTTGTCATAGTCCCTGAGATGATCCAACCCACTTCCTGGAGTGGAAGCTGCTGACTGTCAGTGTTTCCTCTTAACCTAGGAGGCCACTTCATCTGTAAAACCTTCGATCTCTTCACACCGTTCAGCGTGGGGCTTATCTACCTGCTCTACTGCTGCTTTGAACGAGTATGTCTCTTTAAGCCGATTACCAGCCGTCCTGCCAACTCAGAGAGGTGAGGCTTTCCTCTCCCTTTGAATCAGACTAGTTGGCTAAATGTCAGAACAAGAAAACCTGGTGTATCTCTGGCATGAGCACTCAAGCTACGTTAAAATACCCTGATTTTAAAAAAGTGATTAGAGCCAAGGGGATTTGGATTTTCTTGGTTCTCTGATGTACCATTCAGCTTCTCCCTCCTCCATCAACCTTGTTCACCACACTTTTGTGGGCGATCCTTGGCTTGGCCCAGGAGGGTGAAGGAGACCAAGGAAGGGTTACCTGAAGGACAAATGGGCCACCAGCCAGAGTCACTGTTTGCGTCCCAGGTGGGACACAGTGCCAGTGCATCTTGTGAGAGAAGATTCAGCCAATCCGAATTGCTAGGCGGCTTGTTAAAAACACAGATTTCTGGGCCCCATCCCTGGAGAGTCTGATTGCCCTTAACTTAACAGACTTCCCCAGCTGATGGTGATTCAGCCAGCCTGGCACAGGGTAATTGGAAACCACTGCCATAGAGAGTAGAAGCACAGCCCAACCTAAAAAAGGAAGGATTTGAGGTGAACTTTGCAGCACTCTGTTCTTGGTACGTAGACAGGGGTTTTGTGACTCATCAGGGAGTTTGGGGAGGAGGAATTACGCCAGGGAAGCCGTTGCTCAGTAGAGTGACAGGGTCTCTCCTCTCAGGTATGTGGTGTGCAAGGGCCTGAAGGTGGGCATAGATGAAGTGCGGGATTACCTCTTCTCAGTCAACATTAAACTCAACCAGCTGCGGAACACTGATTCTGACGTCAACCTTGTTGTCCCCTTGGAGGTGATCAAGGGGGACCATGAATTTACTGACTACATGATACGGTCCAACGAGGGGTAAGCAGACCAATGTGTTTTTTCCTTCGTTTCTTTCTGTTGTTTGCTGACATCGCTAGGGTATCAGGAAAGCCCTCGGGATAAAGAGAATGAAGGACTGAATGACTGGCTCTTGGTATCACTTTGTCCGTTTTGAAGAATTGGTTGCTGAGATCAGTCTGCTCGCTCCAGGGCTCCCTCGGACTTTGGGCACCTTGAGGACTTTCATCTTGCTCCCATGCCCTGTCACAGGGTGGCTGGTGGGAGCCTGGCTGGCATCATCTTGCCCGTGGGAGCCTGAGTATGACAGTGAAGCTAGAGGGCAGACTTGTTTTGTGTCCTTGGAGGAAGGAATAATCTCCCTTTAATTGCTTCCATTTGTAGAAGGCCATCATAGTTTGCTGTCCCATGAAGTCCCTTAGATGGAAGCAAGAGATGGCTGGAAAACAAGTATATAACATGCTTTTGGAAGTTTCTGGAATCAAAACTTTTGCCAGACCATGAGTTTCTCAGCTAGGCCATCTGAATGCTGGTTTTGTTTTTGTTTTAACCTTCATCACTTGTTTCCCCTCCTTGTTAATGGTGATCATTTAAAGTTGTGACAGTTGGCTCAGTTTTCTAAGTGGGTAAACCTCATCAGACAGTTTTCTGAGGAAACTTGGAGAGTTGTATAGTAGCAATGAATCAATAGAAGTGCTTGCTTAGGGGGCCAAACATGTACTGGAAAGGTCATTTCTAAGAGTGGAATCCCACGTCTCCCAGAGAAGGTTGAATGTATAGGTTGCCCTAGGGAAACATAGAAGGAGAGGTAGTCTTTATCCATCATCTCTCAGTACTTTAACTTTCCATTCTGTGGTACTGCTACATAAGCTCTCTCATCTTGATATAAGAATCGGCACCAAGGTGGAGCCCGTACTAAGTTTCAGCATGTTGTAGATGAGGAAGCAGGCCCGGGACCAGAAATCAGCAAAGCCAAGGCTTTGTCACTATCCTGGACTTCTTTTTGTTGAGCCATGCTGCAGTTTCATACGGGTGTGCGTGGATGCATGGCAGAACTGGTCTTCTCAAAGCTCCCAGTTGCAGAGTGTTTAAGCAGCCTGGTAAATTGATTTGTGTCTGATATATTGGGAATGTTTTTCCCCAATATGTGGTTTGCCTATTCATTGTCTTAATGATGTCTTTTGATAAGCAGAAGTTAAAATATTTTTGAGTCCATTTTTAAATTGTAAAATACACATAACAAAGTTTATCATTTTAACTCTTCTTAAAATGTGAAATTTAGTGACATTAAATATATTCACACTGTTTTGCAACCATCACCATAGTGCATTTCCAGAGCGTTTTAATCATCCAAAGCAGAAACTCTGTACCTGTGAGATAACAACTCCTATTTCCCTTATCCCCAGCCATTGGTACCCTCTGTTATATTCTCTCTGTGAATTTGCTTATTGCATGTACCTCATATAAATGCATTCATACAGTATTTGTTCTTTTGCCTCTGGCTGTTTCACTTAGCATAATGCTTTTAAGATTCATCATGTCGTAGTATGTGTCAGGATTTCATTCCTTTTTTAAGGCTAGGTAATAATCCATTATGTGTGCATACTACATTTTGTTTATCCATTCAGCTGTTGATGGACATTTGGATTTTCCTCACATTTTAGCTATTGAGACTAACACTGCTGTGAATGTGGGTGTGAAAAGTGACTGTGTCCCTCCTTTCACTTTACCTGGGTATACATCTGGAAGTGGGGTTGCTGCACCACTTTACTTTCTGACCAGCAATGCACCAGGGTTCCAATTTCTCCACATCTTCACCAACACTTGTTATTTTTTGATTTTTTTTTTCATAATAGCCATTCTAGTGGGTCTGAACTGGCTCTCATTGTAGTTTTAGTTTGCATTTCCCTAATGACTAATAATGTTGAGTATGTTTTCATATGCAAATTGGCCATTTGTATATCTTCTTTGAAGAAATATATTCAAGTCCTTTGCCCATTTTTCTTTTATTTTAAAAATTTTATTTTTTATTGAAGTATAATTGACTTACTCTCGTATTAGTTTTTGGTATACAGCATAATGATTTGATTTTTAAAAATTATTTGTTCATTTTTGGCTGTGCTGGGTCTTCATTGCTACACGTGGGCTTTTCTCTAATTGCAGCGAGCAGAGGCTAATTGGGGTGCTCAGGCCTCTAGTTGCGGTGGCTTCTCTAGTTGTGGAGCACAGGCTCTAGGACTCTCAGGCAGCAGCTGTGGCCCACAGGCTTAGCTGTCCCGAGGCATGTGGAATCTTTCTGGACCGGGGACTGAACCCTTGTGCCCTGCATTGGCAGTTGGATTCTTAACCACTGAACTACCAGAAAGTCCAATTTGATATTTTTATACATTAGAAAATGTTCACCAAAGTCTGATTACCATCTGTCAATATAAAAAGTTATAAAGATATTATTAACTATATTCCCTGTACTGTATGTACATTACATCCTGGTGACTTACTTATTTTATAACTTGAGGTTCGTACCTCTTAATCTCCCTCTGTGATTTCACTCATACTCCCCATCCCCCTCCCCTCTGGCAACCACCAGTTTGTTCTCTATATCCAAGAATCTGTTTCTTCTGTTAATATTTGTTCATTTGTTTTATTTTTAGATTCCACATATAAGTGAAGTTGTATAGTATTTATCTTTCTCGGACTTATTTTACTTAGCATGATACTGTCTAGGTCCATTCACGTTATTGCAGATGGCAAGATTTCATTCTTTTTTATAGCTCAGTAATATTCCTTTGTGTATATATACTACACCTTCTTTTATTTATCTATTGATGGACACTTAGATTGCTTCCGTATATTGGCTATTGTAAATAATACTGAAGTGAACATTGGGGTGCATATATCTTATTTTTGTCAGAAAAATAGCCAGAAATGGAATTGCTAGGTCATACGGTAATTCTGGCTTCCCTGGTGTACTGCTCAGCTGGTAAAGAATCCGCATGCGGTGCGGGAGGCCCTGGTTTGATTCCTGGATTGGGAAGATCCCCTGGAGAAGGGACAGTCTGGTTTTCCACTCGGTTTTCTTGGGCTTCCCTCGTGGCTCAGACTGTAAAGAATCCACCTGCAGTGCGGGAGACCTGGATTCAACCCCTGGGTTAGGAAGACCCCCTGGAGGAGGGCATGGCCACCCACTCCAGGATTCTTGCCTGGAGAATCCCCATGGACAGAGGAGCCTGGTGGGCTATAGTCCATAGGATCACAAAGTCAGACACGACTGAAGCAACCAAGTACAACACAGCACGTGGTAGTTCTAGTTTTAATTTTTTGAGGAATCTTCATACTGTTTTCCATGGTAGCTGTACCAGTTTACATCCCTACCAACACTGCGTGAGAGTTCCTTTTTCTCCATGTCCTTGCCAACAGTTATTTGTTGTCTTTTTGATAATAGCTATTCTGACAGGGGGAGATGATACTGTGGTTTTGATTTGCATTTTCCTGGTTAGATTAGTGATGTTGAACATCTTTTCATGTGTTTCTTGACCATCTGTATGTCTTCCACAGAAAAATATTTAAATCCTCTGCCTATTCTTTCATCAGTTTTTTTAAATTATAGTTTATTCAAGTGTTTTTAAAATTGAAATATAGTTGACTTACAATGTTGTGTTAGTTTCTAGTGTACAGCAAAGTGATTCGGTTTTATGTGGAGAAGGAAATGGCAACCCACTCCAGCATTCTTGCTTGGAGAACCCCAGGGACGGGAGCCTGGTGGGCTGCCATCTATGGGGTCGCACAGAGTCGGACACGACTGACGTGACTTAGCAGCAGCAGCATATATTATTTTTCAGATTCTTTTCCATTATTACAAGGTATTGAATATACTTTCCTGTGCTATACAGTAGGACCTTATTGCTTATCTGTTTTATATGTAGTAGTTTGTATTTGGTAATCCCGAATTCCTAATTTATCACTCTCTGCCTCTTCCCCCTTGGGTAACCATGTTTTCAATGACTGTGAGTCAATTTCTGTTAGTCTATTTTGTAAATAAGTACCTGTGCATAATTTTTTTTAGTTTCCACATCAAAGTAATATTGTGTGATATTTGTCTTTGTCCGACTTACCTCACTTAGTGTAATAATCTCTAGCCCCATTCATGTTACAAATAGCATTATTTCATTCTTTTTTAAAGTTGTCTACAGAGAATCACTTGGTGTGGGAAGCCTCTCCCTTCCACGTGTTTTTTTTAATAATTTAAAAAATTTATTTATTCTTGGCTGTGCTAGATCTTTGTTGTTGTGTGGGCTCTTCTTGTTGCGGTGAGGGGGGCTGCTCTTCACTGCGGTGTGTGGGCTCCTTATTGCGGTGGCTGCTCTTGTTGCAGAGCACAGGGCTCGGGCCTGCGGGGTTCCGTAGTTGCACAGGCTTAGGAGCTGGGCGCATGGGCTTTGTTGCTCCACAGAATTTGGGTTCTTCCTGGACCAGGGATTGAATCCGTATCTCCTGCATTGGTAGGCAGATTCTTTACTACTGAGCCACTGGGAAGCCCTATTGCATTCTTTTTTATGACTGATATTCCATCTTCTTCATTTATCTGGGTGTTTGTTTGTTTTTTTTTATGTTGAGTTGTATGAGTTCTTTTTATGTTTTGTATTGTAACCCCTTATCAGATATATTGTTTGCAACTGTCTCCCTTCCATTCAGTCGGTTGCCTTTTTGTTTTGTTGGTAGTCTCCTTTGCTGTGTAAAAGCTTTTTAGCTTTTGATGTAGTACTATCTGTTTAGTTTTGTTTTTGTTTCCCTTCTCTGAGGAAATGTGTCCCCCAAAATTGCTGAGCTTGGTATCAAAGAGCATACTACCTGGGTTTTCTTCTGGAAGTTTTATGGTTTCAAGTATTACTTATTTTTAAGTCTTAAATCCATTTTGGGTTTATTTTTGTATAAGGAGTGAGAAAGTAGGCCAGTTTGATTCTTTCACATGTAGCTCTCCTGTTTTCCCAACACCGTTTATTGAAGAGGCTGTCTTTTCCCCA